CTCAAATATCACCTCTACAAAGAGACTTTCCTTGACCCTCACTACACAAAATGGTCATTCCCAACATACTCTTTTAGCTCCACCAGCCACTTATATTTTTTCTTAATCTGTCATTATCTTGATTTTTTAACTATTTTCTGTCCTTCCCCACTATACTGTAAATTCCGTGAGTGCAGAGATCTTGAATTCCAATAAAGGTTAAAGAAGCTACTGTTTCCCTCTAAGCAGGTTTATTTTAGATTTCCCCCTCATTTCAAGTTTTATTGGATTTTAGTCTAGTCAAAGATTATAATTACTTTGGCATTTACCATAAAAAACAAGGGGAGAAAAACCAGAAGTGACTTCCCTTCAAAAACTGTAAGTCACTCCACCCACCTAGTGGTCTAGACTGGACAGACTGCACAAAGGTATTCAACAGATGCTCCTTACAAAAATTTTCCAATGTGGACATATGCAAAGATGGTATAATTCTGACATCTGCATCAAAAATCTAAGTTTTAAACTACTCTTCCTAGCAATCACTAAACACAACGATCTGAGAAGAATCAACAAGGGAAAGCACAAAATAAGTAAAATACATGATCCTTAATCCAGAGAAGTTAATGATTTCATCACTGACTTAGTTCTCTTTCTCATTTTAGTAAGGTCATCTATTCATCACCTGCTCTAGATGCTTCTTCCTGACCCGTTTTTTGTCACCAACCAGGCTGGAGTGCAGTGGTGCGATCTCAGCTCTCTGCAACCTCCCAGGTTCAAACCATTCTCCTGTCTCAACCTCCTGAGTAGCTGGGATTACAGGCATGTGCCACCACGCCAGGCGAATTTTTGTATTTTTAGTAGAGACAGGGTTTCACCATGTTGGTCAGGCTGGTCTCAAACTCCTGACCCCGTGATCTGCCCACCTCAGCCTCCCAAAGTGATGGGATTACAGGTGTGAGCCACCGTGCCTGGCCCTGACCTGTGTTTTTATACATATTCTGCTATTAGGTGCCACATAACTTGATCATCCTACTTCCCAAAACCAGAAGGTATGTCCACAATTCAAAATTCAGGAAACAATCTTTTAAGGATTTATCTTCAGGTCTTTATATCAGGGTCTTTTCTACCCTATTCTTAATTTCTGGATCAATCCTGGATTCTTTTTTTTTGAGATTGGAGTTTCATTCTTGTTTCCCAGACTGGGAGTGCAATGGCAGGGTCTCGGGCCACTGCAACCTCTGCCTCCCCAGTTCAAGTGATTCTCTTGCCTCAGCCTCCCAAGTAGCTGTGATTACAGGCACCTGCCACCACACCCGGCTAACTTTTTTGTATTTTTGGTAGACATGGGGTTTCACCATGTTGGACAGGCTGGTCTCTAACGCCTGACCTCAGGTAATCCGCCCACCTCGGCCTCCCGAAGTGCTGGGATTACAGGCATGAGCCACCGTGCCCTGCCTCAATGCTATGTTTGTTACACAGCTGTCTTGACTAAACTAGATGGCCTGGCTAGACCTAGAAGCCTGTATGTTGTGTAACTTCCCAACAGAATGAGACAATATACTTTAAAAAATGTACTAAGATTTTAAGGTCTTAGGATACCTAAACCTTTTTCTCTGAGGAAATAATTTCGATTATTTGATAAATGGCAGCTAAAATGGGAAAAATAAAAATGAGACTAATGTGAGCAAAAAACTGCTGAAACTCAAAATTATATGGACCTCGGCGGGGCGCGGTGGCCCAAGCCTGTAATCCCAGCACTTTGGGAGGCTGAGACGGGCGGATCATGAGGTCAGGAGATCGAGACCATCCTGGCTAACACGGTGAAACCCCGTCTCTACTAAAAAAAATACAAAAAATTAGCCGGACGTGGTGGCGGGCGCCTGTAGTCCCAGCTACTCCGGAGGCTGAGGCAGGGGAATGGCGTGAACCCGGGAGGCGGAGCTTGCAGTGAGCCGAGATCGCGCCACTACACTCCAGCCTGGGCGACGGAGCGAGACTCCTCCTCAAAACAAAAATTATATGGACCTCAATTCTCATGTTCCAATTCAAAAGAGCCAGCAGTAACAGTGCATAGCATAGTATAAGAAAGTCCAAATGTGTATCTGTATCACACTGGAATCAACTGGAAAGTTTTGGAATGAATACTAGATCTTTGGGTATAGCGGGTGCAAGGTGGGCCAGAATGTCAACACTGAACATCAACAAGTTGGAGCGTCTTACACATAATTAAACACATAATTAAAGGACCCCATTGGCCCTAGCAAATGATGGTGGAAGAGGTGATGTTACAAATCTCTATTTAAAAACATCTCCCAAGTTAATTCTGATGCTCAGATTTGGAAACCACAGGTGTAAGGGGAAAAACACAGCTTTCGTGATCCAATGGCAACTTTACTAAAAACTGCAAGACCTCGAACAAATTACTATACTTCTGTGAACGTTAGTTCATTCACCGGTAGACACATCATAAAATCACTATTTCAGGGCTGATATAATAGAAATTATACAAAGCATCAAGCAGAGTTTCTGGCATACAGATGTTCAATGAGATAGGTCTTATTAAATGGTCTAAAACATCCACTATGTATATTTATAAAAACAAGGACACATCTACTGGCACCACTGTGTTATTTTTCTATACTAGAAATTAACTATTTACTTTCCATGTCTGCGGACTTCTAGAGAAATCAGAGCTTTACAAATCTTTCCCCTCCTCTTTTCAGTAACAATGTAAACGTTAAACCCCTCCCCCATCTCTAACACAGATACTTACTACCAACAGATACTTACATGGATGCTTTTAAGAAAATAATGCAGTTTTGCTTTTTAGAAGAGTTTCAGAGTGTTTTAAAGCATATTTAACTTTTCAGATCAGCGTTCTAAGAAACTTAATTCACTGCCATTTGAAGTAATATGAAAGCCAACAAGATGTTTCAGAAAACTGGAACCCATCACCTTCTCAATCTGACTAGTGAATGTCTCCTCATGGTTGTTTTAGAGTAAAACTAAGAAACGAGAGAACCATGTTACGGGAAGGCAGACAGACAATGTCTTGGACTCTTCTTTTAGTTTTGTAACCTGGTTGGACTCTACTTTCAGTAACTGGAGAATGAAGGAAAAGCTTCAATGCCCTGCCCCCACGCCGGGCCAGAGAAGACAAAGGCGTCCACTCTCAGATGGCAGGAGAGAAAATGGCAGAAGCGCCTCACCTCCAATTTTGACTGGGAGGAGTGGGGGTGCGGGGTCAGGGAGGGAACCCATCAGCCGCGAGGCTCGACGCCCAGTCCCCTTCTTCCATCACAAGTGGGAAGGAGGAAGAAGCTGACCCCAGCCCTTCCCGCTCCGAGCCGGCGGCCTCGTCTTTTGGGTCTGGGGCCGTGGGGAAGGAGAAGGCCGCGCGACCCCAGTCCCATCTCCAGAATTCAGCACCCTGCTCTCGGCTCCCGCTGGCCCCGGGCCTCGCGGCGCCCTGGTCAGCGACATGTCCTTGGAGGGCGCCGCCCGCGCCGCGAGAAAGATGGCGCCCGCCGAGCAACTGCGCCACCAGCCCTGGCGACAGGCCAGGCCCAGCGCCATCTTAGCGCCTTCCAACCGCACCCCCCACCCAAGATCCCGCATTCGGGGCTACTCGGGGGGCGCGAATAGCATCAGGCCCGCGCGCACTCGGCCAAAAAAGCGCCGTCCCAGCCACACAGCTCTTCTGGCCGGCGCGGCGGACAGCACGGGCCTCGTAGGAAACGCCCAGCTGGGCCGCGAGTCCTCCGCCCGGGTGGGGACTCAGCCGGACCCGGCCGCGGATCCTCCGCGCGGCTGGGGGCTCGGCCGGATCCGGCTGCGGATCCTCTGCGGTACTTCGGCAGGCAGCGAGGCGGCTGGGAAAGAGCAGTCCAGCGGCAGGTGCGCGCCGCCGCCGCGGGCTCGGAGCGGGAGCGGGAGCGGGGCCAGGGCGACTCGCCGGCCCCGAGCTCTCCCCGCCGCAGCCCGGATCTGCTCTCCTCGCCGCGGCCGCCCGCAGATGCGGCGGGAAGGACGAAGCCAGGATGAAAAATAAACCCCGTCTCCGCCGCCTCCCTCCCCACCCTTTCCCCTCCCCCTCCCCAGACGCGGGGTCCATTTTGCCGAGAAGAAAGAAAATGTGATTCACACCCTAGAGCTTCCGAGAGAGAAAAGAAACGAGGGGGGGAAAACAGAGGGGAGGAGATTGGAAAAGCTTATTTTTCTTCCTCGCCCGCCGTCACTCCAGGCCCTCCCTGCCCCCTGCTCGCGGCCCCGCCGTGCCGTCTTCCCCTCGCCGAGTCCTGCTCCCTCCTTCCCGGCTCCCGGCGGCTCCGGGGGGCGGAAAACACACTCACACTCGCGCACACAACTAATTTTAAACCGGCTCAATCAATGAGTCATTAAAAGGCTTCCCTCCCCTCCCCTCCCCACCACCAACCGCCACGCCACCCCCTTCCCGGGCTCTCCCTCTCCCCGCTCCAGAAATTTGCATCCGCGGAAAAGAGAAAAAAAAAAAAAGGAAAAAGAAAGGCGCCGGGCCCCCACCTCGCCGAGGCGCCCCCGGCCCGGCCTCGCCGCCCCCTGCCCGCCTGCGCCCCCGCCCGAGACACTGAACTTGGTCTTCCTGGGGCCCCGGCAGCGCTGGGAAAGGCGTAAACACTCGATTCCCCTTTTCTCCGTGTCCATTAAACATCCACCCACCACCACCATCACCCACCCACAAACCCACCCCCCCCCCACCACAACCCACCCCCCAAAGTGCACAGCCCAGCTGGGCTGCAAAAAAAAAAAAAAAAACAGCCTTAGCCAATAGCTCTCTGGGCTGAAACCTAATATCCTGGTTTTGGCAACTCGGTGTTTAATTTGCTCCTCTTTCTTTTCTGTCTGGAGACAGATCTCCAGCCCCCCCTCCCTCGCTTTTCCCCTCCCCGAAGGAAAGAGGCAGAGGAAGGAGGTTGTGTGTTTTTTTTTTTCTCCTTGAAATTTTTATCACAAAATTATAATACACTCAAAGGGAAACTCACCGTCATGAAAAAGCAGTGCCTTGTCAACGGGGTTTCTGCGCCATCGCAACAGGGGCGGCGGCGGCGGCGGGCGCGGGGCGCGGGGCGCGAGCGCGGGAGCTCCCGGCCGAGCGGCGCCGGCCACACGCGCTCCGCTCTCTCTCTCGCTCACCCCCGCGCCGGGCGGCGGGCGCCCGCTCCCCGCGCCCGCCCGGCCTTCATGCTCTGCGCCCGGGCAAACCGCTCGCCTGCTCGTCTACCTCCAAACTTCGGTTCTCGCCTGGCAAAAAATGTGGAGATTAGGATTTTTTTAATTAAAAATTTTTTTTTTTTTTTTTTTTTTTTTTTTTTTTTTTTGTAAATCAAGCTCCAAGGATGTTCATTCCTGTTTCCTTTGGGATTCTTTTTTAACTTCAGATATGTACTGGTTTACTCAAGAAACAGTTTTATTTGGCTTTAAAAAAAATTATTAAGATCCACGAGGTGCGTGCTAATTCTCTTGCAGGCTCTCTCTACACACACACACACACACACACAGTTTTAGCTTGACACGGGAACGGGGAAGATTAAAGACAAAAAAAACCTACAAGATTTGTTTAGAACTCTAATTAGAGCAAGCCTCAGTAAATACGTTTTGCCTATGCTTTTTAAAAACCAAAACCACTTTTAACTTAGTTATTAGGCAAATAACTGGTTCGTCCTAACTTTTAAATGTACTAAGCTTTCCTTTGCAACACTCTTTCTCCATTCCAAAATTCGTGAAACCTTACCTGTGAAGCCCGTATGTGAACATTAAAAAGGAAAACAAAAAACTTTAGTGACCAAAAGGAAGGTGAGGCAGAGTAAATCACTCTCAAAACATTCTACTGCCTTCTCTTTATGTAGATACCTTTTATCTCCATATTTGCGGAATTTTCATTACATAACCCCCTCATTCTTAAAAGAGAGCTAGTCAATCTTTTAACATTCTTTGGTCCAAGTATAACTACCACCCATTTTTTAATCTGAAATCTCAAATTGTTGAAACTTCTCTGTAAACCATCTAGTATCCAAAGCATTTAAATTATGTGGCCCAGGGCGGGCGCGGTGGCTCACACCTGTAATTCCAACACTTTGGGAGGCCGAGGCGGGTGGATCACCTGAGGTCAGCAGTTCGAGACCAGTCTGGACAACATAGTGAAACCCTGTCTCTATTAAAAATACAAAAATTAGCTGGGCGTAGTGGTGGGCTCCTGTAATCCCAGCTACTCGGGAGGCTGAGGCAGGAGAATCGCTTGAATCTGGGAGACAAAGGTTGCAGTGAGCCAAGATCGGGCATTGCCCTCTAGCCTGGGCGACGGAGCAAGACTCAAAACAAACAAAACAAAACAAAACAACACAACAATATTATGTGGCCTGGAGTGAGAGCAGGTGCCTTTGTAGTCTAGGTTAACTACAAATGCCCACAAAATATACTGGGGGTTTTGTTGTTGTCTTTTATTTTAAATAAACATCAAGGATAGGTAAAGGGTGAATTGTACAGAAAGTAATTCAGGTTTTAAAAAATACATATTAAGCCTCAGAAATGTTATAAATTGTTTTAAAATCATTTGTAATACATATAGCAATAGGATCCTGCTGATAAACAGAATGCTCAGCTGCTCTGCCTATGGAGTAGCTGTTCTCAAACGGCTCAAACCCATCTCTCCCAGATATTTGGTGACTTCTCAATAAAACTCTCCCTAGATTAAAATTATTTAAGTGAAATTATTGTATGGTTTCTATATCCCCTCAGCATTAATAAAAACATAATGGTAGTACACCTTTCTTGCATATATAAGGATACTGTAACTAGACTATGTTTCATAAATTAAATCTGTTGAGGCTGGCATACAATGTTGTCATAGTCAATACAGAAGATCTTTTTAGTTAGGGTACAGTAGTTCAAGCCTGTAATCCTAGCACTTTGGGAGGCTGAGGGAGGAGGATCATTTGAGGTTAGAAGTTTGAGACCAGTTTGGACAACACGGCGTGAGATCCCATCTCTAAAAAAAAAATTAAAAATTAGCCAGGTATGTGTGGCACATGCCTGTAGTTCCAGCTACTGGGGAGGCTGCAGCAGGAGGGCTGCTTGAGCCCACAAGTTGGAGGTTGCAGCGAGCTATGGGCAGTTTGACAGAGTGAGACCCTGTCTCTAAAAAATAATAAAAAAGATCTGGCTGGGTGCAGTGGCTCACGCCTGTAATCCCTTTGGAAGGCCGAGATGGGAGGATCGCTTAAGGCCAGGAGTTCAAGAGCAGCCTGGTCAACATGACAAAACCCCGTCTCTACCAAAAATACAAAAATTAGCCAGGCATGGTGGCATGCGCCTATAGTCCCAGCTACTAGAGAGAGGCCGAGGCACAAGAATCACTTGAGATTGCGCAACAGAGCAAGACTCTGTCTCAAAAAACAAAGAAAAACACCATATCTTGTTCTGGTACTGCCATTCTATCATTCATAATGTATGCTTTATATTTAAATGTGCCTTAAAAATACATTCAGTGATTTAGTATCACACAGTATCATCGAGGTGTTTTCTCAGATATTTTGCTTCAAATGCATCCAAGGGCTTCTTGGAACAGTAATCTTTGCATAAATTAGCATATTTCTCTACACTTGATGGTTGGACCAACCAGTTTTCTAACTGGCTTGGAAAATTTTTTAAACATGTTTTAAGGTGCCTTTGGATTGGCTGGGATGTAATTATAATACCCATTCTAAGAATTACATTTCAAGAGTCCATATATTATGCATTGCAATTAGGACCCACCAAGCAAGTTTTACAGCTGTTGCTCCACAGCTCCAGTGATATATGTGTGTGTGTGTGTTTTTTTTTTTTTTTTTTTTCTTGAGACAGATCTCCCTCTGTCACCCAGGCTGAAGTGGAGATGCATGATCATATCTCACTACAGCCTGGAACTCCTGGGCTCCAGGAATTCTCTAGCCTCAGCCTTCCTAGTAGCTGGGAATATAGGTGAACACCAGCACACTCAGCCAATTTTTTAGTTTTTTAGAGACAGGGGTCCAGCCTGACCAACATGGTGAAACACCATCTCTACCAAAAATACAAAAAAAAAAAAAATTAGCCAGGCGTGGTGACAGGCGCATGTAATCCCAACTACTCAGGAGGCTGAGGCAGGAGAATTGCTTGAACCCAGGTGGTGGAGGTTGCAGTGAGTTGAGATTGCGCCATTGCACTCCAGCCTGGGCGACAGAGTGAGACTCCATCCCCACCTCACCCCGCAAAAAACAAGAGACAGAGTCTTGTTTGTTGCCCCGGTGGGTTTTGAACTCCTGGGTTAAGTGATCCTTCCACCTCAGCCTCTCAAACTGCTGGCATTACAGTTGTAAGCCACGGTGCTGGGCCCTCCAGTGAAATAGTAATGGATTTCAGAAAGCTGTCCTCTCAAGTCAGCCACAATTGCAAGGAAACTGAAATCTGACTTTAAAAATGACCTAACAAAGCTGAATTTATATACTCATAAAGAGCTTAGGGCATTGCAGGCTTTTTAAAGATAATGTCCAAATACAAGAACATCGACATTTATTGAAGGTCTTCTAAGTGCCACCAGGCATTATGCTAGATGCTTATACACATTATCATATGAACTTTCACTCAAACCCGAAGAATAAGGTTTAATTATCTGGATTTTGTAAATGAGGTTCCCAATAGGATAGTTTCAGCAATTTGCCTGGGGACATCAGTCTAATAAGGGCAGACAGGAGAACCAAGTCTGGCTGACCCCAAAACTCACCCTCTGTCAGGCCTGAAAAGGATCTTGGGAACAAGCAGTCTTTGCTGTTTCAATGTTAACATTAGAGTTCAGTGGTGTGGTACAGAGGGGACAGCTGTCTAATTAGTAAAGACCTACTTTGAGAATGCCAGTTGTCCAACCTAATTTTAAATCTGGAGGAGGAGTTTACAAAATACTGGGACACAGTAGGAGAATTTCAGATTCTCCAGGTACAACCAAAATTGTAATTATTTAATAATATGGCAAAACAAAAACTTTTTCCCCAGATTATTATAAAACTTCATTTAAATGAGGGATATGCTTTGTATATTAAAATTTAGAATTATAGTTTATATAGACAGGATTTTGGTAGCTGAATGTAAGATTAGAAAACTTTTTAAGAGGAAAGTTCTTCAAATGGCTTTACCAAATGCAAATAGCTTTAATTGTATTCTCTACAGTTTAATTATGTACAATAAACTGGCCATTCCTATGATTCCCATCTGTGTATGTGACTTAGAAAGAAAGGCAACTGGACAGAAAAAGAAAGGAGGATGTAAATATAATTGAAATGTTCTAACACATGCTTGGACCGCCAAATAAACAGGCCCAGTGTCCACATAACAATGAAAAGTGAAAGTGTTCTTTTTTTCCCTCCAAATGTTTCCCTTGGTTGGTTAAACATTCTCAGAAGTGGAGAATGAAAATGCTGGAGATTGAGCAGTGATACGCATGACCAGATGTATCCAGATCACAGAAATATCAACACATACCAGAAGAGTAAGTGTCCTATAGAGTGTTTGCGAAACAAAATTTTTAAAATTATCGGTGTGCATACATAAGGCATATATCTTTACTTGTACCTATAGAAGTACTTATATTCTGAGGTTTAAGTGTACTGGCTCTGTATTCAGACTGACCTGGGTTCAAATTCTAATTTTGTCACTTACCAGGTGTGTGGCTTTCGGCAAGTCATTTCACCACTCAAGGCTTCAACTTCCTCATCTATAAAATGGGGATGATTATAGTTCCCACCTCTAAGAGTTATTTTAAGGGTTCAGGAACTAGTGTAAAATGTTTAGCATGGTGCCTGAAACATAATGAGAGTTCAATACATTCAACTGTACTGCCTTATTTTAGTTATGTGTCAGGTTAAGCCCTGTGAGATCTTCCCATGTGAATATTCAATGGCAATCTCCTATGATTCAACCTGGTATGTTTCCCTTATGTTCCCTCCTGGATAGGGAGCTCCTCAAGGATGCCAGACCATCATCTCCATCCGTAAATTCTCTAAGAGTCTAGCAGAGTTATTTTGTATATAGTTTGGTCACAATCAGTATTTTTGCAATAAAGGCAAAACAGCCCAGTCCACAAGATCTACAAGAAATTAGCATATCTCTATCCAGCGACCCATATATTAAGGGGGTAAAATAACTCTCCTTAAACCATGTAAAACCATTGCCCAGCTGATTACAGGCAGTACTACATAGACTAATGGTTTAGAGTTCTCTCCAGTTTTATCACT